TAAATCTGTGCATGTGTGAACTGGAGCCCTGCAAGCAGTATTTTTTGACCTACCCTTGTGTATAATTATATAATATGAATAGTTACATGTTAATAATACATAATTATACATATCACAGTGGCTCTGTGGGATAAGCACTGAACTGCAAACCACAAATTCGGTAGTTTGAACCCACTTACAGCTCTGTGGGAGAAAGATGAGATTTTTTGCTCTGGCAAAGATTTACAGCCTCAGAAACCCTATACAGGGTTGCTGTGAGTTGGAATTCACTTGACAGCACTGAATAACAATAACAGCATACTTATATATAGGAAAGTAATGTGTATTTATAACTGTATACTATATCAATGGAGCCCTGGTGTGGCACTGCCAGATAATGCACTGGACCTGAAGGTCGGTTTGAACTGCAAGGTCGGGGGTTCAAACCCACCATTTGCTCTTCAGAAACCCTATACAGGCTCTACTATGAGTCAGAACTGACTCGATGGCACTGAACAGCATATATATATATATAAAAAATACATATAGGAAGTTGATAACATATATTCACTTGAGGATAGTGGTCACTGCTAGAGTGTTCTAAAGTGGAATAGGAAGGGAAAGGTTCTGCTGAAGCTTATTTCTACTCATTTATATTTTTAAAAAATATGACGGAAGGAGAGAGTAGTGAGGAAATGGACATATGAGACAATGTCCATTTCCTCACTACTCTTAAACTCATTACTTCTTACTACTCGTAAATTTAAAAAGCATCCTAAGAGCATACTGGAGACATTACACCGGTTTCAGACTACCACAATAAAGTGAGCATCGCAGTAAAAGATGTCACACATTTTGTTGGTTTTCATTTCCCAGTGGATATAAAGGTTATGTTTATAATATAGTCTATACTATTATATATTATATTATTATTATATAATTATATTATAAAAGTTGCATTCATAATGTAGTTGCATTGAAGTATTGTGAGAATTCCCAAAATGTGACACAGAGACCCGAATTGAGCACATGCTGTTGGAAACTGCTGACAGTAGACCTGCTCAACGCAGGGTTGCTGGAAACCTTCAACTGGTAAAAATTCGCAGGATCTGTGAAGCTCAAGAGAGCAAAGAGCCGTAAAATGAGGTATGACTGTAAACGTTCCAGTATTGAGCACCTAGAATCATGCGTGGAACCAAACAAGGTTCTAAAAGTAATAACTGAAACGTAACTCAAAAGAATCATGTATTTCCACACTATCACATCTTGCCTGACCTCTAAGGGTCTGTTCAATGCACTGAGTCCAAGACTCATCCTCCACATGAACCAGACACAGACAGTAAGGAACAGGAGGCTTCTCAAGATCCAGCAGGCTCAGAGACCCTGAGTTTGAAATGGTGGCTGCTGCTCCCTGCCTGGACCCCTCTCTGTGCTGGGGGTCAGGAAACAGCCCCTTTTGGCCATGTGAGACCCTTAGAAGTTCTCTCCCCAGAAGGTGTTTACAGTGAGGAGCATGGTCCCAGCTCTGTTTCTACTGTGGGTCACCTGCTCCATCTCCCCAGGGTTCTGCCTGCTGTGTCCCTTCCCAGGACCCCCTCCAAGTGTGGCAGTGGAGTGTGACCGCCTAGCCTGCATCCTGTGGGGCGTCTATGCTCAGACAGCTGGGCATGTGGCCATCACCCATCCAGCTCAGGACCCTACAGGTGCTGTGGGAGTTGCCAAGCCAAGTTCTCAGCAGGAAGAGCCCATAACTGACAGCCTTGCTCTCAGAAATGATGGTTCATGGTTAGATGTAAGGGGTTTGGTTTGCTTACATTTTTTATCCAGTATTGTGGTCAGTATTCTCTAGAATATTGTACAAATACTAGATTTTTGTTTTGTGTCTATTATTTGTAATTAGCACCTTCCCAATATATGTTGCTAACTCTTATTTGCACATAAATACTCTTAGTGTTTATTAAAGGAAAAAGTACCTGTTTATTTCTAGTCATTTAAATATAGTCTTATTAAAAAAAAAAATCTTATTTGTCAAGCAGTTTTAGTTTAGGAGACCAGTTAGTACAGAGTTCCTACTTTGCATATCATTTCTCCTATAGTTAATTTCTTGCATTAGGGTGGTAGACTTGTTACAAATGGTGAAACTATTATTATTGTTGTTGACTAAAGAAGGCCTGCAGTTCAAACTCACCACTGCTCCTTGGAAACCCTATACAAGGTTGCTGTGAGTAGGAACCAACTCAATGGCACTTAACAACAATACAGTTGACAGTAGGGTTCCCTGTTTGTATTGTACAGCCTATGAGTTTTGACAAATGCATAACACAATGTATTTGCCATTATAGCTTATGGGAGAATAGTTTCACTATATACTCTTAAAATGTCCTGTGCTCCACCTATTTATTATGATTCCTGATACTAGAATAAGGGAGTCCTGGTGTGGTGCTGTGGGTTAATGCACTGGACTGCAAAGTCACTATGAGTCAGAACTAACTTGATGGTACTTAACAACAGCAACATGCTAGGATAAACACTGGACTGCTAACTGCAAGGTCAATAGTTCAAACCTACCAGCCACACTTGGAAACTCTATACAGAGTTGCTATGAGTCAGAAGAGACTCGATAGCACAAAGCAACAATAACTTGTCTCTGAGCCTTTAGCAACCACTGATCTTTTCACTGTCATCTAGTTGAGATGATACAGATACTAACCTTTTCAGATTGACTTCTTCCCTTTAGCAACATGTGGTTAAAGTCCTTGTGTGGCACTATGGTGTGGCACTGGGCAGCAAGGTCAATTTGAACCACAAGGTCGGTGATTCAAACTCAGCAGCCACTCCTTGGAATCCTTACACAAGTTGGCACTTAGCTACAACAACATGTCTTCTCTTGGCTTCATAGCTCACTTCTGTGGATAGTTGAATAATACTTCATTATATAGATTACTCCAGTTTGTTTGTCCACCCATCTACTAGAGAACATCTTGGTTGCTTCCAGTTTCTCTGTTGTTGTTAGGTGCCATCTCATAGTGACATTGTGTATAACAGAATGAAACACTGCCTGGTAATGCACCAATCTCACAATCATTGATGCTGCCACTGTGCCAATCCATCTCATTGGGGGTCTACCTGCTTTCACTAACTTCCACTTGACCAAGCGTGATATCCCTCTCCAGGGACTGGGCCCTCTTGATAATATGTCCAAAGTATGACAGACGATCTGGCCATCCTGACTTCTAACGAGCATTCTGGCTGTATGTCTTACAAGACAGATTTGTTTGTTCTTCTAGCAATCCATGTCACTTTCAGTATTCTTCTCCAATATTATAATTCAAATGCATCAATTCTTTGGTGGTCTTCCTCAATCACTGCCCAACTTTCCCATACATATGAGGTGATTAAAAAGACTCATGGTTTGGGACAGGTGCACCATAGTCCTCGAACTGACATCTTTGACATCTTGAACACTCTAAAGAAGTCTTCTGCAACATATTTGTCTAATGCAGTCCATCATCTGATTTCTTGACTGCTGCTTCCATGAGTGTTGACAGTGAATCCAAGAAAAATGAACTATTTGAAAACTTCAATCTTTTCTCCATTGATAAGAATGTTACTTATTGGGCCAATGGTCAGGGGTTTTGTTTTTTGTTGTTTTTTTTCACATTGAGATGCAATCCGTACCGAAGGCTATGGTCTTTGATCTTCATCAGTAAGTATTTTAAGTATTTAAGTATCTTCACTTTGAGCAAATCTAGGTGTGTAGTGGTATGTCATCATTGTTCGCTAAGAATACCATGCTAAGCATCCTTCCAGATGTCTCCTTGCCATCTGTATGTCTTATTTGGTTATATGTCTTTTCAGAAAAATTGGTCTGTTTGTTTTCTTGGTGGTGAATTTTGAGTGTTCTTTGTTTCATTTGATTCTGACACTAGTATCTCTGTAGGTCAGAGTAGAACTACCTATAGAGCTTCCAAGGCTATAAATCTTTACAGAGGCAGACTGCCTCACCTTTCTTCCAGAGTGGCTGGTGAGTTCAAACCACTGATCTTCAGGTTAGCAGCTCAATCCTTTACCAGAATGTCAGTGGTTCAAACACACCAACCATTCATAGAGAGAAAGACAAGGCATTCTGCAGCCATAAATATTTACGGCTCCAGAAACCTTAGGGAACAATTCTGCTGTGTCCTATAGGGTCCCTGTGAATCAGAATGGACTGAACAGCAGTGGGTTTGGTTTGGTTTGGTTTTTATATTTTGGATATAACTTCTTTATTAGATATATGCTTTGTGAATATTTCCTACCAGCTTTTAGCTTGTCTTTTAATTCTCTTAAGGCTTACTCATTTTAAGTGAGTAAACCAGTCCTACAAGAAGCTTTGGAGACCTGGTATAATGCAGTGACCCCAAGGTTAGTTTGTGCTGCAGACTGTGTGATTCAAACCCTCCAGCTGCTCCTCGGAAACCTTATACACGTCGCTGTGAGTTGGAACCAACTCGATGGCACTTAACAACAACAACAACAAACTTTATAAACAGTGATGGTTCAGGGGTAGAATCCTGGCTTTTCATGCAGGAAATCCAAGTTTGATTCCTGACTAGTGCACCTCATGTGAGGTAGCCCCCACTTACCTATGGGTGGAGTCTTACGTGTGGTTATTCTGCAGCACAGGTTTCTGCAGAGCTTCCAGATTAAGACAGCCTTGGAAGAAAGCCTGGCTGTTGACTTCAGATGACAACAACTACACAAGACATTTTAGATTGTCTGAATAAATACAAGGGGCGGCTGACATAAATAATCATAAACTTGTGGGACAGTTTCCTTGGGGCAGGAGTCACTGGCATTTTGTCCTTCTGCACAGACATTTTCTGATAGTCAAAGCCTGGCTTGAGGCACTTGCTTCAGAAACAGTGGGAAGGGGCAGCTCTTCTGGACATTAGTGGTTAATGGACTCCTCACTTCAGATTGACTTTCCCCTGAACATTTGCCTTCAAGGATTGACTGAATATGTTTCGATCCCCTTTCAGATCCTACGCTATGGAGTACGGACCATGTCCGGCAGTGGCTGGAGTGGGCAGTGAAAGAATACAGCCTCCCAGACGTGGACATCTTACTGTTCCAGAATATCGATGGGAAGGAACTGTGCAAGATGACCAAAGACGATTTTCAGAGGCTCACCCCGAGCTATAATGCTGACATTCTTCTCTCCCATCTCCACTACCTCAGAGAGAGTAAGATGGTGCCCTTCCTTAAAACAGAGATTAGTGGTGGACAGTAGGGTTCCAGCCAGTTTCATGTTGACAGCATCTTCCTGCTGCAACCCATTTCCCACTAAGGATCGTAGAGAATGAGATACTTACAATGCAATTACTTTGGATGAGCATCACCGTACTGACAAGTAGTCCAAAAGACATGGTAGTGGGCAGCCATTCTCTCTAGGCTAAGCACCAATGTCAGGAGCCCCAAAAGGTTAAATATCAAAGGAAAATGAAATTATCTGGCCACACAGTATTGAGTTCCCAAGATACTCTGAATTGGACATGGAAACATTATGGAAAGGTTCCTCCTGAGTGGAATTATGGAGTTTATCATCCCTAAAGCTAAACCAAGCCCCCCTTCATTCCCAACCTAAACACCTAATGAGGGGCCTTTTCACTTCCTCTCCTGAGATTTGGCTTTAACCCAACAGAGTGGGAATGGCATCTTGGCAATTAGCAGCATGAATCCACAGAGTTCGCTGCATGCTTTAATTTTTGAAATGTCAAGCATGGTTAGAAGGAAGTAGTGCAACAAAGGGTTAGTGCCCATTCTGCTCCATTGCTTTGCCTGGCATTCCAGCGATTCATTCCTCAATTAAATACAGACCCCCCATCTAGGTTGTAACATGCTAACAAATAGGAAGGTGAGTGAAAGAGACTCAAGATCACCCATCACACTAGGGTGGGAGGGGATGGGGTGTCTTCTTTCTTTAATTTTTTTTTTTCTTTTTGAAGAAGGGTGACTCTTTTCTTTCTTTCTTTTTTTTTTTTCATTTTGATGTTGCTTTTTTGTTTTGTTTTGTAGCTCCTCTTCCACATTTGACTTCAGATGATGTGGATAAAGCCTTACAAAACTCTCCGCGGTTAATGCATGCTAGAAACACAGGTAATGCTGGCCCTGCCCTCCTCCCCACGCACAGGTGTAGTGTCCTGGCTACAAATTGCATGCTTTTAAGGGAGAACAGTGGGACCAGGAGGGCGAGACACAGAGGCAGACAGTGGAGGGGCTCTTCTTGTTGACTGCAGACCCCATGGCTGTGTTGGCATTGCCTGAAAGTAGGTGAAGCCTTCAGGCTCTGAGTGCTTCTCTTTTCTCTCCCTCTGATAATCCAAAGACTCCTTTTAATCAGAAGATGTGCAAAATTCTCCTTTAGCCATAACCATAGCTCACAAATGTTGGGTTAGTATCTGCTGCTACTTATATTAGGCCCAAAATATGCACTGAGCAGATTACATAGAAACTAAAAGCATGCTTCATAGAAAGAGGCCTTCAGCATTCCCCTTTTTAAATTTTTTATTTTATTTATTTTCTTTTCTTGTGTTTATTTTTAAAGGAATGTTTGCCAGGGCAAGTGGGAGTTTCCTTTAACTTTCTATTGAAGCTTTGGACATCTGACTTGACTTTAATTTTATTGTGCAGACTTTATACATTTGTAAAAGACAGTGGTGGGGAATGTTAGCTGCTTTCTTATGAGCTTGGGTTCAAAGAGAAAACTGCTATAATTTTGGAGGATATAAAATCAGTCACTAACTGAATGCCTATCGCTAACCATGAACTCTACATTTTTTTTATTTTCTTTTTGTCTTTTGCCTGAGTCCAATTGGGTCTAACAATGTGCTTCGTCCTGGCTGGCCTGCCTCCCTCCCTTCCCTCTGGCTCTAGTAATAGAGAGACTGGGCTTTCTGCAGATGAATGTGCTCCTGGCTCTTGCTGCTGACCCCTGCTATACCAGTATGAGTCTGAAGGGACCTTCTCTACCCACCTAGTCTAGGAACGAAATCAGCACATGTTTAAAATTTTTAGAGAATCCTCTCACAAGCAAGCAAGGTGTTACATAGAAATAAGGCAATTTTCAAACTATTTGCCACTTTATTCTGCAGTGTCCACTGGGAGTGAGTCCAGGCTTGGGTGTTACCAAGGATTTGCTAGTCTGTCTTGGTCCTCACTATTCAAAACATTGTTCTTCTCGTCTTAAAAGGAGGTGGGAGGCATGCAATGGATTGCGAGTACACCTTTTCAGTCTAGGTTTAATGATGATCTGGTGGCCAGAAATAACAGGTAACTTAGAATGATTTCTTGCCCCCTGCCCTAGAAAAGGGCCATACACCTTAGAACTACACACATTCTCTGATAATTTCAGAGTCCTTTAAACATTTTTGAACAGTGAGAGAAAGTTTCAGGACACCTCTGGTTTCATTATTTCTGTCATTGTGAAGCAGAGACAATGTAACAACAGCACAATAAACTCCAAGTGGATTGAACTATGAAAGGGCACCTTCTTTGCTAGCAATATGAAAATTGACTTAAAGAGACAAAGGGTAAATATGCATCTGAAGAGTGATGCGGACTAATTTTTAATAAGATCCATATACTTATAGGCCAAATAATTGTAATTCCTTGGTACGGCTTTCCAAGAGCTCTGTAAAATATTTTACGGGTTTTTATACAATTTGAAAAAAAAATTTAAATTAAAAAAAAAAAAACATACATGATAGAATTGTTTTCATAAAATGAGATTGCTGGGGGGCGCAGATGGGACTTCAGCAGGAAGCTGTAAAATCAAATGCAAACCACATTACAGCAAATGTGGCATCCCCCTGTCTTTGGAGTATGTTCTTCTCCGTGTCCCCTGAGGTCTGTCCTGGAAGGTTCGAGGACAGTCCCCTGTTTGTTGTGACAGGGCATAGTAGGTTTGGCAATTATGCTGAAATTGACAACCGCAACAAAAGACCTTCACATGTTTTGTCTTTCCTTTTGTCTGCAGGGGGTGCAGCTTTTATTTTCCCAAATACTTCAGTATATCCTGAAGCTACGCAAAGAATTACAACTAGGCCAGGTACGAAAACACCCCCGTGTGGTTATTGCATTTAGAGGCATCCCAGGATGTCCTGCTGACATCCGTGGCCCAAGTCATGTGATACAGACAGAGATGAGCATGGAGCTGAAGCGAGTCCCAGACAGTCTTATTCTGCCTCTGTTGATTCTGAAACAAAATTCAGCCCCACTGATGTGGTGTTGTAGGATAAGTACCAGACAGCTAACAGCAAGGTTGGCAGTTCAAGCCCACAAACTGCTCCTCGGAAACCCTGTGCAGGGTCACTATGAGTCAGAAGTGATTCGACGGCACTTAACGACATGCCGTTCAACTATCCCATGAAAAAATCCTTGAACTGCAGAATTCAAAGACACTAACTCCTTAACTGTTGTTGGATGCTTTGCATCTGTCTATTCTGACTCATATGACAGAGTAGAACTCCCTGTAGCATTTTCTTGGATGTAACCTTGTAGGAGCAGGTTACCACATCTTTCTCCTGTGTAGCATGACTGGGTAGTTGCCATTTGGTTAGCAGCCAAGCACATAAACATTTACACCATCAGGGTACCTTAACTCCCTAACTGTTGTTGTTGGTTTTGTTAGGTGCCATCCAGACAATTCTGGCTCATAGCAACCCCATGTGACAGAGTAGCATTGGCCCATAGGTTTTCTCGGGCTGTAATCTCTGTGGCAACAGATTGCCAGGTCTTTACTCCCATGAAGCCATTGGTTGGTTTGAACCAGTAACCTTTTAGGTAGTAGCCTAGCATTTAACCATTGCAATACCAGGGCTCTATAGCACCTTAACTTGTTTCCCTGAAAGCAAAAATTGCATCATGGATGTGTGACTGTGAAGAATATGTCTACTTTTAAGTTAATTGAAGGATTGTGTCCAACTCCTTATTATTTTGTAGGGGAGCGTCCTAGAGCCAGAGGAATTGATATCTAAGGCATTTAAGAAGAATCCCCTTTACAAGTAGTAACCACTTCCCAGCATAGCACAAGAAGCCAGTCACTCTGGGTCGATAATATTTTATCTGAATCTTATTTGGTGCATTCCCAGATCCTTTAATTTGTCAATTAATTTACCCAAATTATCTTGTTCATTCACATAATAATACACATTTATCCAGGGATTTTTAATGCTGATAATCAGAATCTGTGACTACAAATATAAATCAGACTTTGAAAACTGCCTTTTTAATAAAGCTCACGTGTTCATTCAACAGGTGTTCCTTGAGTACTTGCTTTATGCCCGCCACTGAGGGGAGCAGTGGTGAGCAACCTCAAAACCGATAGCGGGAGAGCAGCTGTACTACATAAACATTTAGCTAGACATTCTAGAATTTCCCGCAGGGTAACTCCTCAAGACCTCTACCCAGAGGCTGCGGGAGGAGAAGGAAGGAACTTCATGTTCCATGAAAAGCAGAGGAAAACTTTCCCAGAGGAAGGGAACACACCAAACAAGTAAGACATTTGCCAGGTGAAGAATGCCTTAGATATCGATCCTCTCTCTGGGAGTTAAAATCACCCTGTAAATTAGATTTCATTGTTTCAGCCTCACGGCTGAAGAACTGAGATTCAGGGAGCAGCAGCATGGTGTCTCTGTGTTTATTTATACATGGAATTGGAACTCACATCTTTTCAGACACAGGTCACTGTCATATGCCCAGGCCATGCTACTCCCACAGTTTGACTTAGTTCTAGGTGCTAGGCTTGGCAACTACTGTTTGCTGTTAGTGAGATCAGTTAGAGGCCAGTAAGTTAAAGTGCCAAGGAGCTCTGGTAACGTAGTGGTTACAAATCGGGCTGCGAACCTCACAGTCACCAGTTCGAAACTACCAGCTGTTCTGCGGGAGAAAGATGAGGCGTTCTGCTCCCGTAAAGATTTACAGCCACAGAAACCCTGTATAGACTCTCTATGAGTTGGAACCGACTCCACGGCACATAACAACAATAACAAGCTAAAGTGTCAAGTAGCTCTGGTAACGTAGTGGTTACAAATCGGGCTGCGAACCGCAAGGTCAGCAGTTCGAAACCACCAGCTGTTCCGTGGGAGAAAGATGAAGCTTTCTGCTCCCATAAAGATTTACAGCCTCAGAAACCCTGTACAGGGTCGCTGTGAGTCGGAACCAACTCCATGGCACATAACAACAAGCTAAAGTGCCACAGGTGAAGAAGATCCTCCTCTGACGTAACCCTGTGACTCCACACTGACTTTGAGTTTGCAGTTTTCTCTCCTTTGATTTCAGAAAAGAAGTGAGAATCACAGTGGAAGGAGTTAGCCAAAGTACTAGTCACCTGTACCATGTTAGAGATCTCGCATGCCATTTAAACTTGGACAAGACTTAAGATGTAGAATGAACTACACTTTGGTGTTAAATGCCATCAAGTTTGCTCCAACTCATGGTGGCCTTACGTAGAGCAGAAACTGTGACTGGTCTTGGGCCATTTTCATGATCCATGTTGTGTTCATTGTTGTGGCTGTTGTGGTGATTCATTCCATGGAGGGTTTCTCTTCTTCCCCTGACCCTTGACGTCACCAAACGTGATGCCCTTTTTTAGCACTTGGTCTTCCCTCATGAGGTGTCCTGATGGAGCGAGCTGAAGTCTCACTGTCCTCACTTTGAAGGGACATTCTGCTGTTTTTCTTTCAAGACTGATAAGAAAACCACCAGCTGGGAGGGGAAGGCATGTAATGAAAATGGAAAATAGGAATATATATTTCACTGTAGCTCTTGAGATTGCTGAGCTTGCCAGAATGCACCCTTGCAAAACATCAGATACATGTAGGAAAGGGTATCAACAATGTTGTGAGAAATTTTTAAGTTTTCCTTCCATATTTTTGAAAGAAAAACTATCTGCAAAATGTTAGCAAGAGTTTTGTGTCTTTCTGTTTGTCTGTAGATGAGCTATCTTGTAGATATCTGAAAGAGATACATGAGTCAGAATCTTTGAGTAAGTGTTGTGAGATGTGTCAAGAGATCACACGATTGGCCAAATCAGTCGGCACAGCCCATTGTTCAGCCAGCTGGCTACTAGATGCTGCTGGATGGTAAAGCAGTGGTTTCCAGAACTCCTTTTTACGTAGTTTGGATGTTGTGTGTTCGGAAGTTACAGTCCAATCAGGTGTGTAGCAAGGAGTATAACTGGGAAGACAGTAATTCTTCTATGCTTTAGCCCAGGGATAGGCAAGAGTGGCAAATCCAAGCAAACATTTTATCACCCTGATAATCCTTTTCCTTGAATCCATTATTTGAGTGTAATCTGAACAGATTACACTTCTGTATCTTTGTTGTGCCTATTTTGATTACTGCTACTGTGACTTTGAAGGGAGCTCTGGTAGCGTAGTGGTTACAAATCGGGCTGCGAACCTTAAGGTCAGCGGTTCGAAACTACCAGCTGCTCCGTGGGAGAAAGATGAGGCTTTCTACTCCTGTAAAGATTTACACCCTCGGAAACCCTATACAGGGTCGCTATGGGTCGGAACTGACTCGATGGCACATAACAACAACAACAACACTGTGACTTTGAAAGGGGATACAAATGTTAAAATCTGAACTGTAAGGAGTTTAAATCATCCTGAGAATTATTGACTTTAAGCAAGGTTTAGGGATTTGATCTTGGAGAAGAAAATTACAAGGGTGAGTCATAAGTATTGCTATAAAATATTGTTGTTGTTGTTAAGTGCCCTTGAGCCAGTTTTAACTCATAGTGAGCCTGTATAGAGTTTCCAAGGAGCAGCTGGTGGGTTTGAACTGCTGACCTTATGGTTCAATCCAACCTTAAGTTTGAGTGCTTATCCTACAGCAGAACTCCACAAAATCACACACCTTTATTAATAACCAAAATATCAAAAAGTGAAGCTATTTTTTCTCAACATTTCCTCCATCTAGGTCTATAAACTTCTGAAGGCAGTGTTTCCTTCTCTCTAATCTTTATTTCCTCGACGAATTTAGTGTTCTTCAATTTACATCACATCAAAACAGCAGTTTTGGCATCCTGAGATACTCATATTGTGTTCCTTTTCAATGTTATTTGAGTTTGGGGAACAAAACAAAGTCTGACAGGGAAAGATTAGGGCTGTAGGGTGGGTGGATGATAGCATAAGTTTTCCCCATAAAATTCTCATCATCCTTGCTACTGTCATCAAACAGTGAGCAGGAACATTGTACATTGTGACAGAAACATATTCCACGGCATAGCTTTCCTGGCCTTTTTCTCACCATGCAGTTTTTAATTTTCTTAAACCTTCTCTATGAAAATCCTCCATGATCATTCTGTATCCTTTGAGAAAATCTGTCATGATTATCCCTGTGGAATCCTCAGAAGCAATCACTGTGACCTTCCTGAGACTCTTTGCCTTGAGCTTAACTAGCTCAGAAGATTCTCTAGGAAGCCACTGTTTTGATTATGCCATTTGTTGAAGGCACTCTAACAAGACTAAGAGAATGTATTTTAAAAACAAAAACCCCCCAAAACAACTGCCACTGAGTCAATTCTGACTTATAGGTACCCTGCATAAGGTTCCAAAGCTGGAAATCTTTACGGAAGCAGAAAGCCTCGTCTTTTTCCTGTGGTGGGTTTGAACTGTTGACCTAGTGGTTAGCAGTCCTGTGCTTATCCTACAGCATCACCAAGGTTCCTTAAGATGCTGTATTACTGAGAGAACGCCTCTGTACCACAGAGAATGTTTAAACACATTTTGTTTGAAGTAAACCTGTTTATCTATGAGTCAGGCTGCACTATGAAACTTACAACTATTCTGCAGGAGAAAGATGAGGCTTTCTGCTCCTGTAAAGATGTACAGCTTCAGAAACCCTATACAGGGTGGTTATGAGTCTGAAGTGACTCCACGGCACACCATCACCATCACCATGTAATAATTGGAACCCTTGTAGCAATACTTTTTGACTTACCCTCATATTTGTATGGGCTCCTGATATGGTACTGCAGGATAAGCACTGAACTGTGAACCACAGGGTTGGTGGTTGAAACACACCAGCTGCTCCTAGAAAATC